TTTTTGAGACAGGATCTTGCTATGCAGTTCAGGCTGGCCTTGAGCTCACTTTGTAGCCCAGGCTGGTCTTGAACTTGCAGTGATCCTCCTGCCTCAGCCTCCCGAGCGCTGGGATTACAGGCATGCGCCACCACGTCCAGCCCCCTAGCACTAATTTTAGCATTATATAAGTGCACTGTATCTACTAACAATACAACGATAATGCTTAATCAATACACACAGTGGTCACATTTTATCTAATTATGGTCCTGTAGATTCACTCTCATTCAGTATGTAACAACCACAGAATACCAGGATTTCCATCCATAAATTTCTATTATGAATTTTTATTAGAATTCTATTTCACTCTACATCAACAACCAGAGGCTATAACTTGACATTGTTAGTATGGGTATTGCTTAGTATCTTTACGTCTTGGTACAATTTTGAAGAAAGAATAAAACTGATGTCTAATTAACTTAATTTTTTCAAAAAAATTTGTTTTCAAAAGCAGAAATTTTGTGTTCATTTTCTGCCTACTTTAAAATTATTAATTCCCAATTCTGAATTTTAACAGACATAGCTTAAAATCAATAAAGAATCAATGGAGAGATGGCTGCTCCAGAGAGAGTGTCCTTCCCCCTCAAAAAAATGTTTAGCCCAATCCATTATGTGTTGATTACATTTTGTTAGACGATAGACCCACCGTAGTGTGTAATTTTTTGTATTGCTCTATTGTTTCTTAACTGCTAGTCCGATATTCCTGAACAAGCTCTAAAATGTGTACTCTACTACAGCAGCTATCAAGTTCAAATTTCTCTCATGACACATTACTTCAGAAAGATGGGGCATTTAGAGAAATAAAATCCTGCCCTTGAGTATAATCAGTTGAAAGAACCAAGCACAATATTTTCTATTTAGAGGGCTGCGCAACCACTGTCAGAAACAGCAAAAGATTGCATAATGCTTCAAAAGTTTTTCCAGTGCTATGTCATTCATGTGCTTGAATAGTTAAGATGTTTTTAAAATATACTTTGAGGAGCTGATATGCACAGAGTGTCAGAAAGCAGAAAGTAAAAGGACTCCGCCAGTACACACGAAGAAGTTTTATACTTTAGGAACGCTTCACTATGTGCTCTAGCTTAGTGCCAGAACGCTAAATTCAGGATGAGGGCGAGAAGCTGCTGCTGACAGCCCAGGGGCCACCTGGGATGTCGTTTTACTCACCTAAAGATGGGTCTTTGGAGATGTTTCTTCCTGATTGTGACATGGTCATCCATTTAAAGATGAAGATTTAACTTCTTCCTGGAAACCACTCCAGAAAATCCAGGGAGGGAATGTGGAAGCTTATCCTGATCTATTGTGCTGAAAGAAGCCCAGAAGGAAAAAGTAGTTTCCTCTTTCTCTTTTTGGGTGCTGGGAGAAAACTTCCCTGCTCTCTGCCAGCTGAGCAGTGTGTCCATAAAGGCCACATAAGACAGGCACGTCGGGGCACTCCCCCACTGAGCAGGGTGTGCAAACACCACCAAGAGTCACGCTGACACGGGCGAGAGACGTGCACGGGACCTTCAGAAACAGAGCAAAACAAACAAAAAGCCTCCCTGCCCAAGTGTCACCCAGGTAGGAGCTCTCTACCTGATTGCAGCCATGAGAGCTGTCCTTCCACATGCTGGTCAAACTCGGCAGCGCTAAGTCCCTCCCTGTCTTTCAAACAGCCGTTCTGAGGCTCAACTTTTTTTCTTCAAAATAAAAGTTGTACAGCTGCTTCAGCAGTCCCATGTGAGTACCCTCTGAGAGTGTGTCCTGCTCAAATGGGAACTGTATACAAACTAGTACAGAAAAATGGACCTGGGTTACTTGGCTAGCTCTGCTTCCAGAGATTACAATGATTTTACAATCTTGCTTGTATTCACGCTAGATGTGTGGGACGGCTCATCACTTATGGCACTCATAACCTAATACCCTACACTTGGCTGAAGTGAAAGATGCCGTTTCCACTGATACTAGCCCAATGTGAAGTGAGCCAGAGCAGGGAAAGTTAGAAAAACAAAAATTGCTTATTTCTTTTGGTGACCTTGTAGCCAGATGTATATACCCAAATGCAGCTTCCCCACTTAGAGGAAGCACCGGGGGTCACAGGGGAGACAGACAAACACAGACACACACACAAAATATTCCCAGAATTGCCTAGAAGCCTACGGTTTTATTTTATAGTAGAATTTGAATTTAAAGAAAAGTATGTTTTAAAAAAGAGTGTGTGAGCAGCTGAAAATAAAATTATTTTATTTGGAAAATTTAGATTTACACAGCTTGAACTCTTATTCTAATTACAGATAACTCAAATCTTCATTTTTTTAAACATATCTTATTTTGGAAATTTTTCTGAATCTTGAACAAAGTTCCTGCTCAATTAATAATGTCATAAGATTCCAGGCCATAGGCTTGGTATATAATAAACTAAACCATCTCAAAGCATGATTAAGGCATTTTAAACATACAGGTAATAAGGGGTGGAGTAACACACATGCCTTTAGTTGAATCATCCATGAAAATAAGGATCAAATGTCACAAAGGAGGGGCTGGGGATTTAGCTCAGCGGCACAGCGCCTGCCTGGCAAGCACAAGGTAGTGAGTTTGATTCCTGGTACCGGAAGATAAAACAAAAAATAAAACAAAACAAAACGTCACAAAGGAGGATATGATCTATAGTCCTTCGCACTTTCCAAATACTTCCAGAGGAGCCGACAGCACCTTTTCATTCTCCTCCCAGAGGAGAGATGTGGAAAAAGAGGAGAAATAAAGAAACCACTAATTTTATGAAGAAGTTGTAATTCACACTACTATGTAAGCAGTCTGAGATGGCATTGAACTAACAATAAAATATGCAGGGCCACTGTAGGCAAATTTATTCATCTGTCTGATTCCCAGATTCCTTGTTTCTAAAATGAAGTTATAATGTTAATTGACTAATATGGTTCCTTTCCAGCTGTAATGGTACCAGCGTGTCATTTCTAAATAAGATTAGTTTGCCCCATGCAAATAAACTATTGTAGAAGCTAGGACACCTGATACTTCAAAACTCATATTTATGAAGCCCCAGGTCCCCAGCAAGCCACGCACCATGTCCCAAGGGGCCCAACAAAACCAGCAGTTGGTGAGTGAGGTGAACTGGTGCTGTGCTTTGGCACATAGGTCAGCAAGAGAGAAGTAGGTGGGAGGGGCCATTTCATTCCAAAGGGAACAGGGTGAGCCCCGGTAGAAAAACAGGCCCAGTTGCTCCACTGCCAAAGTGCTGGAGTGGAATAAGGGAACAGCCATCCAGTCAGAGTAGACTGCTTTCAGCTGGGAAGGAGGCCAAGGAGAAATCTGAGGGAAGGTAGGAGCTAGGACCACCAGACTCTGCTCAGGTCATTCCCAAAAGCTACTCTTAGCCTTAAATAAGAACTGGAAACACCCTTCTGGTCTAGGGCATTCCCTCTGCCCAATGATCATCGGATAAGAGGAGTTCATGGTGTGGAACGGACACAGCTGTGCAAGGTCCGGAAAGAGATAACTGTATACCAGCCTGGGAGAAATCCTTGGCTTTCGCTACCCCAGAGCAGGACGGGAACTGGAATAGCACCATAGAGACAAGCATGGTAAGAAGTGGCACCCAAAATGTTGTCAGCTGCTGACCAGTCCTAGCCCTCACAACCAAAGGATGAGATTAGCCCCTCACCCCCCACAAATTCTCCTGAAAACTTGGTTGGGCTGCACAGCACATCTTTGGGATCTGACTTAGACACTACCGCAGAACTGTGGACATCAGAAGAATGTTACTATCTTCTTTTTCTTTTTCTTTGTTTGATTGGTTTTCCTTTTTCAGGCTGATTGGGGCAAGATATTTTGTTTCTTTTGTTTTTGTTTATTTCTTTTGGTTTTTTGTTCTGTTTTGTTTTGGTTTTTGTCTTATTGTGTTTGTCCTTGGTTTCTTTTTATTTCATTTTCTTTTGACCAATTAGATTTCTTACCTGTATTTTTCTTTTGTTCTATTTTTCTTTCTCTCTTCTCTCAACTATCTCTCTTGTGAATGAACATCATCTCTTCTTTTTCTGGTTTGCTTCAATATTATTTTGCTTTCTCTCTCATTCTTTTCTGCACTATTCTCCAGCCTTCCCCAAACTGGGTGATCTTCTCTAGCCTTACAGCATTGCTTCTACTACCTTCTTCCTCATTTATCTCTCTGTTTTGTCCCCTGCCCCTCTTAAATACCACCCAACAGGGTAAAATCAGTTTACCAAGGAGAAACTATTGCATACAAGCTCCTGGCATATGTTGGATGTGCTATATAACTTCAGAACCTGCTCCTAAGGTTAAAGGTATCAAATTAATAACTACCACAGTTTGTCAGTTGCTAAGCTGTACTTGATGATATTGTTACTTCTAACTTTATCACCTTAGCTAGGATGTCATACATGCTGTAGTCAGTTTTTCTCCCTTGTATAACAACACTGTGGTTATCTAGGGTGATAACTATCACCATAGTCCTGTACCAAGGGATAGGGTGCTGAGCCAAATAAATATCAACTTCTCATCCCTAATAAATTGGGAAGGTAGGTTCTTGGGATAGACACAAAAACCAAGAGCCACCTACACCCAGAAGACAGCTCTGAGGAATAGACACTTCCTAGGGAAGTATTGCTACTATGGATAAAGCTATCTACCATAGGAAAAATGTGCAAGCACAAACACAGGAAATAAAACATAGCAAATCACCAGAGGCAGAAGTATAATGCAACCCCAGACCTCCAGCCCACCCAGGACAAGTCCAGAGCACAATAAGATAGAGGAAATTGGGATACACACACTGGATCTTTCTGAAATGAAAGCAGCAGAAGAGAAAAAACAAATGAATATGGTTATAGAAAAAATAATCTCTCAGGTGAAAAAAGAAATGATCAAAATGGAACACATACCTAATGAATCCAGAGTAGACACATAAAAAATTAGAGGCACTTAGGAAAACCATGGAAACCATAAATGCCCAACATAAAAAAGAAATGGAAGCCATAAAAAAGATCCAAATAGATATCCAGGAGATTAAAAATTTCATTGAAAGTATACACAATAGGTTGAAGGCAAAAATAGAGTATCATATCTAGAAGACAGGATTGCAGTTAGCAACCACGAAAAGAACAATATCTTAAAAACAACAAGGGACTATGAAAAATCAATTGAATGGCTGCAAGATGAAGCAAAGAAGAACAACATATGACTAAATGGAGTTAACAGGAAAGCCAGAGAGAGCTCAAATGCCATTAAAAACCTCTTCACAGAAGTAACAGCTGAAAACTTCCCAAACATGGAGAAGGAATTTCACATACAAATAAGTGAGGCACATAGAACTCCAGTTAGCCATGCTCAGAATAAATCTACACAAAGGCTATAATAATCAAGATCCTGGAAATTCAGCACAAGAACAGAATATTAAAAGCTGTGAGAGAAAAGAAACAGATCACCTACAAAGGAAAGCACATCAGAATCACAGCAGGCTCCTAAACACAAATCCTCACATTAAAAAGAGCTTTGAGTAAAGTATTTCAAGTCCTAAAAAGCATATATTTATTAAGTATAATTATGAATGAGTTATAAATATATAATTTTATGTATTTGTGTAGATATATATATATGTATTTATATATTTGTATGCTAACACCTAACTCAGTGTTTCAATCATTATCAATAAGCATCTAATCCTACATTCACATGTTCCACACAGCAGTTCAGGATGGAGATATGCTATACCCAAACTGATGTGAAGATCTTTTCAATTATATCCTTTGATTTTCATTGTTACACAAGCAGATACATGAGTATTAATACATTGTAAAGATCTTCTGGAAGGATCTTTGAATTTGTGGTTGACATGTAGTTTCTGTAGTTGTGGCTTACCTACATTACTGTTAAATTGCTATTAATTAAATATAAATATTTCATCTGAGGGAAAATGAAGAGAATAAGACCATAAGCCTGAAACACTAATTTGTCTACTTTTTTTGAGTCACTAAGATGCCAAGACTTAGGTAGAGCTTGCAGTCCTCCTGCTTTAGCCTTAAAGAGTGTGGGGATTACAGGTATGCACCATCACACCTGGCTTAGTCTGTCTACTTTTGCATTTAAAAATGTGAGACAGGTCTTCATACACATAATGGAAGAAACTCTACATAAATGTCAATAAACCTGTAACCACATTACAGTTCAAATGTCAAGAAAGCACACTGTCTAAATTGAAGCTCAAAACTTTATTACAATTGAAGAATATCAAAGCTGTTAAAATGATCATAGGAAACCCATAATATGGGACTAATATTCTTTTATCTATTAAGTGATTAAGAGAGACAAGTGAGATTCACATTTACTTTAAGCACTATATTTAAATTCAGTCTTCATACCTGATGAGCCACGGGAAGGTACCTATACATTAAATATTCATATAGCACAAAGAAAAATATACATATTCTTAAAATATTTTCATTAATTTTTCTCAGTGTATTTAAGTTTGATATTAGGAATAAATATCGCCTTTGCTAACTTACTCAGTTTTTCTGTAGTATTCAATAAAATGGAAAAACCTCTCTATTGTTGAAGTTACAGGAACATATGCCTTACACAGTCACAACTGCACTATACTAATGTAGCTAGGCTAATTTTCTTATAAAATAGGCTACCTATAACTT